AGAATCCGGAAAGATAGGGACACTCGTCGTTGCCTCTTCGTCGCCTCCGCGTATTCTCCCACTGACTGCAGCTCAGATGATGTAAAAGATGAGTTCTGCAGAAAGCTTTCCGAACTTCTACGAAAACCTAGGCGCTCTGATGTAGTAATAGTGGCTGGTGACTTTAATGCTCAAGTAGGTAAACTAAGCAAAAGACACCTAGGTGGATTTTATGGTGTCATGGCTCAAAGAACAGATAATGGCGATCGTCTGTTGCAGCTATGCTCAGATAACCGCCTGTTCCTTGCAAATACTAACTTTAAGCATAAGGAAAAACACCTTTTGGCATGACGACCCCAGAACTCATCCCAATGTTGGACCCAACTATGTCGCATCTCCATCAGCCACCGATGTAGGGGCTCGCTGGAAGACTGTCGCTCGTCCTTGAGCACATGCTTAGATTCAGATCATGCTCTAGTACGAGCGAGTATTTGTCTGCGTCTTACTGGACGTAGGAAGGACGCTGCAAGTAAACCTCTTAGGGTTCTACTTAATGATAGTCAAGCTAAGAATATATTTCAGGAACAACTAGAAAAACAGTTAGGCAGTCATGTAAGTGATGCCCACCCCGAGGCAGCATGGAATGATATCCGAAAAGCTGTGGAAACAGCAGTGATATCTGTTAGTGAGATAAACCATAAGGTTAGGGAGAAATACTGGATCTCAGCAGCATCAAGCACACTGATAGATGCTCATCCCATCTGGCTCCGAACATGACGAAGAGCGGAGTCAGCTTAAGCGCAAGCTGACAAGAAGTCTACGCAATGATCGCGAACAGTGGTGGGTAGCGAAAACAAGAGAGATGGAAAAGGCAGCGGCAATAGGTAATAGCAAACAATTGTTCAGAGAAAGATGGGCATATTATACATTCTACATCCAGGAGATTGGATCGATGGGCAGAACACTTTAGGGATCAGTTCAACTAGCCTTCAGCCACACTTCGGTTTCCCACGATCTCTAGTCAACCTGAATGGCAAGTTAATGTAGGTCCTCCATCTCTTTACGAAGTTGAAAAAGCCATAGGAAATCTGAAACGAGGGAGAGCAGCAGGCCCTGACAGGTTTACTCCTGAGATTTTTAAGGATGGTAGTCCAGTATTAGCAGTGAGATTAACTGAGGTCTTAGGTAGAATTTGGGAACTGGACACAATCCCATCTGACTGGTCTCAATTACTGATTGTGCCAGTCTATAAGAAAGGACAAAAGTCCTCTTGTGACAATAACAGAGGAATCAGTTTGACAAATATAGTGTCTAAAATATTAGCTTCAATAATACTTCGACGCCTAACCAAAGCTCGTGAAGAACAGACTAGAGAAAATCAGGCTGGTTTTCGACCTGGACGTGGTTGTATAGATCAGATATTCACACTACGTCAGGTTCTAAAACACAGACACACATTCAGACGTCCCACAATCGTAGTATTTCTCGACCTCAAGGTGGCATTTGACTCTGCTGATCGTGAGGTTCTGTTGCAGAGTTTGTCACTGAAAGGAGTACTAAAGATGTACACTAACCTTACACAGGCTCTCTACTCAAACACAACTGTCCGAGTGAGAGCTTATGGTGAACTGTCATCAGAATTGATTACCTCAAGTGGTGTTCGTCAGGGCTGTCCATCTCTCCATTCTTGTTCAACTTTGTCGTCGACGTACTTCTAGAGATAACACTTTCCTTTTCTTCAAACCCCAATTTTTCTAATTACAGCTTATAATTTTACTACATCTAGCATTACAGGATTTGAATCGACAATTGCATCTCTGTGCTAATGTGGTGTGCGTAATCGAATTGATGTACGTACGTACGACGTTCTACGTTGTTACTGACTGACTGACATCGACTTCCAACTCGAAACTTCCGCTTTTGGCTTCCTCTTCATGTGTCACCATAGCCAACGACTCTAGTACGCAAAACACTGTCCCAGGTCTACTGGAACCTCGCTCCAAACTACACATTGGAGCCTTCAAAGTACACGCACTATGTCAAACTGGTCAGCAGGCCTCCTTGGCTAAAACTCTAGAATCCCGTACCATTGATGTATGCTGTGTCGCCGGAACACGCATACAGGATCCTAGTGTGGTCATTCACCTGGCCTCCCCTCGTCAAAACGGAGAGCCGACGATATACACCCTCCATGCATATGGCGACCCGATGGCTAGTTCTCGTCGACTGGCAGGTGTAGGCATAGCACTAAGTACGAGGACAGAACAAGCACTATTAGAGTGGATCCCCGTTAACAGCCGTCTATATACTGTTCGGCTAAACGGCTCCGTAAGAACTCGGAAGGATAGGGACACACGTCGTTGCCTTTTTATTGTTTCTGCCTACGCTCCCACTGACTGCAGCCGTGATGAAGTGAAAGATGAAGTTTACAGAAAGCTTTATGAACTTCTTCATTAAGCTAAACACCCACACATAGTATTCGTAGCAGGTGACTTTAATGCCCAAGTAGGTAGCTTAAATCAAACAGAAAGACACTTAGGTGGGTACTTTAGTATTCCGGCTCAGCGAACAGATAATGATGATGGTCTGCTGCAACTGTGCTCAGACAATCGTTTATTTTTAGCAGGCACTAATTTTAAGCATAAGGAGAAACATAGTCTAACATGGCGACCGCCTGCACCAAACCAACGATGGACTCAAATAGACCATATTGCTATCAGTCGTCGTTGGAGAGGGTCGATAGAGGACTATTACTCGTTCTGGAATACCTGCTTGGACTCCAACCATGCTCTAATACGGGCGCGCAACTGCTTGCGCCTCACTGGACGCAGAAAAGACACATTAAGAAGACCTATTGGAGTTGAACTCAACGATTAGAAGGTCAAAGGTACATTTCAGGAACAACTGAATTCACACTTGGGCAATTTCGAAACCGAGGCTGACCCAGATGTTGCTTGGAAAGATATACAAACAGCAGTGACATCTGTTAGTGATTTAAACCAAAGAGCTACAAAAAATCAATGGATTTCTTCAAGGTCTATTGCACTGATGGATTCTCGTAAACTCATCCCATCAGGCTCAGAACACGATGATGAGCGAAAGCGAATCAGATCTAGGTTAACCAAAAGTCTAAGGAACGACTGTGAACAGTGGTCGGCAACGAAAGCAAAAGAGGTGGAAAATACGGTGGCTATAGGTAACACAAGACAGCTCCTCAGACTCGTGAAAGAAACTGGAACTAAAAAGTCAAGTGTAAGTGAGACTATCTCACAAAAAGACGACACTCGTATCTGCTCCCAGTCCAGACGTTTAGAACGATGGGCAGAACACTTTAAGGAGCAGTTCAGCTGGCCTTCTGTTATAACTCAAAGGGCTGCCGATTAGAGGGCAGTGATTTATCGATCGGATCAAGGGATTTAGAATCTCGATAGACTACTCTGGTCCGTTGTCCCCGACTCAGCTAACGCGATCAAGAAGTCTTGATAAGGCGTAGAAAGTGTATTCCACAGGCAACCAGCAGATAGCAGGTCAGGTCAATCAGGCACACAAGTCAAGCGTATTTATACAAATATTTACAATCGATATTGTCATAGTAAAATGTTTTTAAACATTGATCAGTAAGTTCATCAATCGACAACCATTCAAATATCTAATCGATAAGTTCATCGATTGACTGCCATTCAAATATTTAAACATTTAATCGATATGATTAAATTACAAAATATGAGTTTTGGGTATCTATCGTCCCCAACACCTTCAGCTACTCTACAGTTACCCACCATTTTCAAAATGCCCCAACGAAACGTTGAGAGGTAGACCCTTCGACTATAATTGAATTTCAAAGAGCTATAACTAATCTGAAACGATAAAGAGCAGCTAATCCAGATGGTGATTCAGTTTTAGCGATTACGCCAACTCACCAGAATCCTCCTTCAAAATCATACATACAGTCATAAGAGTCGGCTTAATAGGAATCCAAATGGCAAACTTATGTACAGCGCAGGCTATCGCTATCCGCCAGTTTCAGTCGCTCATTGTTCGATGGTCAGAACCACCTTTTCTATCTTCCATAATCCATCGTTTATTTTAGATTTTATAGTGTATATTCCTTTTCAATTATTTTCACAACTATTCATTAGCAATTGTTATAACTTTTATTCTTTTCTTAACAGCTATCGAGTGGATAATTATCTTGACCTTACCACTTTTTCAATAGCCGATAATTACGTAACTTCCTTTCAATATCTGATTTTCAATTTTTGACAAGATACCACATCAAGTTCTTAAATATTCAACACCATCCTATCCTACTATAGACTACCCTGTTCTAGTAAATAAAATTAACTACTATTGTACAATTCAAGTAAATGAAATCGTCCAAAAAAATATTCTTCGTTGAATCGCTTTTTTTCTTGTCTCATATCCGTTAGCTGTTTAAAAGCGTCAGGCGTATGACCCATGAGATGTTCGTATTTCACGATCCTGTTAGAAAGATTAGTCAAAGACTCTCATGCCCTTAGTTTGACTACAATAAGATATGGTGCATTTGAGTTAGAATAAGCTCATGTTTGTAGTTGGACGAAGAGTGATAATGTTCGACAGTTCAAATAGTCCTCTTGTACACTGATCACCTATGATTTTTCGTGATCAAAAGTCAACAATGATAGTGTAATTTTTTGTTTGTCGACATCGCCAAATATTCAGAAAGTGATTAACGGACAATTAAATTATCTACATCTTCAAGAATACTAGTAAATATACATTTTTGCAAAAAAAAATTTACAGTTAAAATTGAGTAGAATAGTTTACTTTACTGGCAGAGTGGTACTTATTTATATCAGTTCCTGACGACTTTATGTTTGCAACTTAATGATTGTCGATTAAAGACTTTAAAATAATTTCTGACAGTTGACCGAAAACTCCATAAAACCACTATATTTAATTCACAGTGACGATAACTCAGAATAAAATGAAACTACGTAATTCGCGTAACATAACATTAACACATCTACAATGCATACCTCTAGCGAGCCAATCCACTGACAACTACCGATAAAACTTTTTGGCTTATCCCCAAAACGTACAATGGAAGCTTGAATATCTCTGAGAGATGGTATTGGGCCTGGAGTTATTTCACCTTGCCACATAAGCCAAGATACTAGTGTTTGGAGCGATCGATATGCACAACCCCAATTTCTGTCATCTACTCCGTCCTAAAAATGTTAAAAAATTATTCATGTAGAGACTCAAAGCTTCTGAATTAAAAATATGATGTTACATTGGCAGAAGTCTACGGACACTTAGTCCGTTTACGCAACCTCAAAAAGAACATGGTCAAATCCAAGACAAATATGCACCACCGGAAATTTTAAGTACGGTACACACGTATGAGCATCATGATAAGAGTAACTACCTTATGTAATCTGCTATTGATTACACTTATGGATCGATGTTCTCAGTCCTTTCTAATAAATACAGTTCCTAAAATTCCCAACCAAACTGATTGCAAAAGGGTATTTAATTAAATTATGGAACAGCGTTCTAACTATTTTAAGGTGTCACAAGACTTTTGTACAATATCAGGAAACGCGAAAATTAGGTAGATCCCCAAATAGGTAGATCAATCATTCAATTTAGATCACAGTTTTTGAGTAGATTATAATTTATAATCAATCCTTAAGTGATAACTAATCGAGACCTGTATGAAAGATAATAATTTTGTTGATGAGTTTCACAAATAATTTAGCTGCCTTAGAAATAATCAATCGTATTGCTAGTTGGTGTACTTTAGTTACAAGTCGAAACCCTGTTTCCCACATTCTAGATTTATCAAGTAAAACAATTTAGTCGATCTATGAGATGGTTATACTATGTACTTAAAACAATTAGTCCCTCTGATAAATTTCGATGTAATGAGAAGAAGGTTATCATGATTATGTGATATATTTGCGCAATACATTTATAACAATCTAATCATACATATACTTGTTAAGACATTTTATATGAAAATTAAAGGACAAACAAACAAATTAAAAGGTAAGCAGAAACAAGGATAATAAAGTACACAAAAATAATGTGGAAACCACGCTGGATAATAAATCAGTATTACCAATGTAAGTTAAGGGTAAGAACAAATAGTTTCGACACATAAAGGGGGTGTCACATTCCGTATAGCCAAGGCTTCAATAAACCTTAGAATACGCCCTTGAAGGATTTTGTACACAACTACAAAAGCTGACTCGATATCAACCTTATGGCCGGTCACAACCAAATGTTTCGCAATGGAGGAAGATGTTTGTCTATCCTGAGATCTTATTTGACTATTGGGATTCACTCGTTTTTGCAACCATTTAGGTATGTGTTCAGCCACACTTACTTGCAGATCACGATTAGTTCTGCCTATGCATGTGTTTCCGGACGTACATATAAATCTACACACACAGTGGGATGTGATGCAATCGCTTACGTGCTGTTCACTTTTTTGGTTAAACATAGATCTTGTCTTTTGAATAATGACGAGTCGAGCTGCATAAAATGTCCTATTGATGGCTAATTTAGGTCTTTGTTTCGACATGAGATTATTTAAGTCACCTCTAGACGATAATGTAAAATAGACTCGCTTTTTTTGGTGCTAGAAGCGTGATGAGACATATGACGCTTCTAGCACCAAAAAAGCGAGTCTATTTTACATTACCGTCTAGAGGTGACTTAAATAATAATCTCATGCTAGAAGCGTCATATGTCTCATCACCCGATCGAAGCTGCTACCTTGACGCGGTGGTCGGGCTTGCCTATCGTGATGACCCAACCGAGCTATATTGGCTGGAACAGATGTTCCTGCAGGTCCTACCATGCCAGGCAGGTCGATTGGTGAACGGTAAGACTAAAAGCAGCAACTCAAGGTCTGAGGGCGAAGTCGTACTGCTGACTGTAGAGGGGTGTGACAGCAGTAAGGTGTTTCCCTCGGACAACCAGCATGACAGCGATGCTGCCTTCCCACAAGGAGGGGTGGGGTTAGAAAAGGTGGGCTCTAAAAATGTCACACCTCACCTTACCTCACGGATTTCCGTCTCCGGCGGTAAGGCCCTTCGAAGAACGGAGCTAACACGTCAAAAATCTTCCATAAAAAGGCCGTGCGCGACCGGCCTCAAGCAGTTGTCCCTTGGGCTCTGCGGTCACGCTCCCAGGTCTTTAAGACCAACATTAATCCAATTTCCTTTTCAGGTTCCTCAAGAAATACCCTTCCACGGTGTGGGCAGCCGGGAAGTGATATCAGCCCTCATACCCGTAACAGCATAAGAGACCAAGTTGGTCACATTCAAATCTTTCCTACACCTTCTAATACCTCTCTTATCTCCCCGACTAACCCTCCCCACGTCTCTTTATCACCTCGCACCGCTAGGGCAAACGATTCAAGTACGCGGAACCTTATTCCTGGTCTCCTGAAACCACGCTCTAAACTACACGTAGGAGCTTTTAACGTACGAACACTTTGGCAAATAGGACAGCAGGCTTCCTTAGCTAGGACTTTAGAATCTCGCGCCATCGATGTGTGCTGCGTCTCCGAAACGCGCATACAGGATCCGAGTAGCGTCATTCATTTGACCTCACCATGCCAAAATAAAGAACCGACTCGATTTACGCTTCGTGTATCTGGAAGCCCTGATTCTGCTTCCCGTGGCTTCGCCGGCGTAGGTATAGCATTAAGTCCTAGGGCAGAACTAGCTCTCTTAGAGTGGATCCCAGTAGACAGTCGTTTGTGCGCTGTCCGACTAAACGGAACAGTAAGAATCCGGAAAGATAGGGACACTCGTCGTTGCCTCTTCGTCGTCTCTGCCTATTCTCCCACTGACTGCAGCTCAGATGATGTAAAAGATGAGTTTTACAGAAAGCTTTCGGACCTTCTCCGAAAAGCTAGGCGCTCGGATGTAGTATTAGTGGCCGGTGACTTTAATGCTCAAGTACGTAAACTAAGCGATAGGGAAAGACACCTAGGTGGATCTTATGGTGTCATGGCTCAAAGAAAAGATAATGGCGACCGTCTGTTGCAGCTATGCTCAGATATTACTATTATTATTATTTGAACACATGAATATTGGTACAAGAGAGCGCCAATATATATGCGCCACACAAAACAATGAGAATTCGAAGAGAAGTAGAAAAAAAAACTAAGGAGCGCAAAAGGAAAAGAGAACAATGACGAAGGAGACACAACCACTTTTCATGAAGAAAGTAAAAGAAGGTTACAGCAGGATCGCCACTGGCTTCTATTCTGAGCCATATCTGATAACGTCTCTAGCCACTGTGTAGCACCATCTCTTGGACCCCAGCCAGGGAGTCGTGAAGGACCGACACAAGCCAGTCCTTTGCAGCTTTCTTTCATGCCACGACACCATGTCATGCACTGACCACCTCTCCGCTTCTTCCAACCAGTTCCAGAGTCGGCAAATAATGCACAACGTGGAATTCTCTGAGACGACATTCGGAGAACATGTCCAAGCCACCGAAGTCGGTGTTTCAAGATGGTGACACCAATTGAATTATCATCTCTGTGCCCGAACACACGATGCCGAACCTCTGCATTACTGACATGGTGTTGTCACTGAATGTCAGCAATCCTTCGGAGACAGCGATGATCGAACACAGAGAGTCGTCTAACGTCCTCAACTCGGAGAGGCCAGGTTTCACAAGCATAGAGCAAAACTGCTCTCACCGACGCGTTGTAGATCCGACCTTTTACATCCAGACTAACATCACGAAGGCGCCAAAGGTGGCCCAGATTGGCATAAGCCGCTCTGGCTTTCACTATTCGTGCATTGATCTCATCACTCACACCCCCACCAGCACTTATGCAGCTACCCAGATACACGAACTTCTCGACTACGTCTATCTGCTCACCATCCAGGGTGAGTACAGGATTGGAATCCTGCCAGTCTTGTAGAAGTACTTTGCACTTCGAAGGTGCAAAGCACATACCATACCTACGGACACTGATTGCCAACTGATTAAGTGCGGATTGCATGCCTTGGGCATTATCGCAAAGTAAGACAATATCGTCCGCATACTCAAGGTCGAGAAGTCTTTCTCCAGGCAACAGATCCACACCACCATTACTTACATTCATCAGAGCTGTTTCCAGAATGTCATCGATGGCAAAGTTGAAGAGGAATGGTGAGATTGGGCAACTCTACCTAACCCCACTGCTCGAATGGAACAATGGAGAGAGGTGGTTGTATGCCCTCACTCTGCCTGAGGTGTTTTTATACAGGGCTTTTAGGATGTTAATAAACTTCTCAGGCACACCCTTCTTCAATAGACAATCCCAGAGAACAGTCCTATCCAACGAATCGAAGGCAGCCGTGATGTCAAGAAACACTACGATTGTTGGTTTTTGAAAAGTATGGCGGTGTTCTAACATTTGGCGGAGGGTGAAGATATGATCAATACATCCTCGACCAGAACGAAACCCAGCCTGCTCCTCGCGAGTCAATCTTTCTCGGGTTTTGAACAACCTGCGAAGAATGACGGAAGCCAATAGCTTGGACGCAATCGGAAGTAAACTTATCCCCCGATAGTTGTTACAAGAACGACGTGAACCCTTTTTAAAGATAGGGACAACTATCGACTCATTCCATGACGTTGGTACACTCTCTAGTTCCCAAACCTTTGTAAACAACGTCGTCAATTCCTTAGTCAGAAAGTCACTACCATCTTTAAAAAGAGCCGGAGGTAAGTCATCTGGGCCAGGTGATTTGTAACGCTTCAAGAGTTGGAGTTCCTTGCGGACTTCCTCCTCATTTGGTGGATCAGTCGTCACCGGCCATGGAGGGCAGGACAGTCTGACCGATGTTGCCGGAGCAGCAGGCCAGTTGAACTGCCCTTCGAAAAATTCTGCCCATCGTCCAAGACGTCGATGGATGTTAGTGATTGGCATCCCATCATCCTCGCAGATTGTTTCACTCACACCAGACTTCTTGCTGCCAGTGGCTCGGATGAGCTGGAAGAGCTTCCGGTAGTTACCAGATGCAGCTGCTGCTTCCAGCTCATTAGCACGCTTCGACCACCAGGCTACTCGGTACTTATGCAAGCTTTGCCCAATTTCCTTACGTAACATCCTTCGTTTATGGTCAAACTCACGGTCACCCGGAGTAGACCGACAGGCTTCAATGAGTTGTAAGGAACCTGAAGAAACCCAGTGCTTATAAGCGGGACG